TGGTGGTCGGCTCGGTGGTGGACGGCTCGGTAGTGGACGACTCGGTGGTGGACGACTCGGTGGTGGACGGCCCGATGGTGGACGACTCGGTGGTGGACGACTCGGTGGTGGACGACTCGGTGGTGCTCGAAGTGGGAGTAGTAGTCGATGTAGTGGTGTTCGTCGTAGACGTCGTGCTCGTCTCCTTGGTGGTGGTCGGCACTGAATAGGAAATTTTCTTGTTCCAAACCGCAGTTGTTGGCGCATTTCGGGCCGGGATCAATTCTTCCTTATTCTTTTAAATAAGGATTAAAGGGATAAGGAAGACCCGGTAGATCAAGGCTTAACCATAATTGGCAACTTGCGAACCGGAAATGATAACGCGAAAAACTGGGCCGACAGCGGGGCGGGGCAGGAGAGAGCAAAGAAGATTTATGTTACTTTAGAACTAAACCCGTTTTATGCTAATTTTTCCTCCATTCTGATCCCTTTAAAATACCGTCAGGCAGTGGAGGCAGCGTGGACCCGGTCCAATATTTTGGCTCTAAACTGATAATTTGCCATTGCCAAATAAAGGAACAAACGCGAATGTGTCGGGGGGAAAAAAGTCCCTGCGGAAGTGTGATGGACCATCACAATAAATAGAAGATGATGGCAAAGCTTCATTCTTCAGAGAACCGACCCAATAAGGTCGGGCTGAGTCGCAAAATGCTGATTTTGTAGGACATTTCTAGATCGGAACTATTACATGCAGCAGCTTTATTTCAATTATCTAATATGCTTATTTAGTGGTAGCGGGCTGACTAGCAGCCAATGTTCTCAACTCTGTGTGTTGGCACCCGTCCATTCTTTATTTAATAGAAAACGCGTGCCTAATAATGAAATCTTCTTATTATCGAGGATTTTAGCAAAAGCCGACGGAGGAGCCAAAATCCACGAAATGAACGTTATTCGGCACATTGGGATTGACAATTCTCTTCGATGAGCTCTTACATTCCTTCATTTGTTTTTTGCGCAGTAAAATGCCTTGAAAAATCTATACTCGTAAGACTTTTGTATTTCTTTCTCCAAAAGTTGCGCAAAGTTCGTTTCGAGGGAGTCGCTCAAAATTTTCTTGTTGCGCAAAATTCATGGTCTCGGAAGGGGGCTCTTAGGCCGCGGGGCAACATCCGCCCCAAATTCGCACACTAATGGAAGTAATGGGCTCCCATCAGAAAAACAAATACGTTGTAACTTCCCGAAAAACTGTTCTGCCGCAACTTTTGAAAGCAGATTCGAAACAGCGTAAAATTTTGCACAAATTAGGCTTGGTAGCATTGTACACGCCTTCTCTCCCACAAATTCAGCTTATAAATGTTTTGTATTTTGGGTGGGGAGCGGAGGCAAAAGATGTATCTTGTTGTAATTCCGCCCAATGAGCCTGCTTCTCATCCCCCATTTGGACGCCGCCGCATACATTTTCCGGCGACAGGCATGCGGAGCATATTTCTTATACTGTTGCCGCTTATTGTTGCTATTGAAGACCGGCCCACTAATTATGCTGCGCTTTTCAATCATTGGGGATGGTCAGCTCTCAATAACAACCGCGATTTGGCAACCAGAGTTGGGATTTACCGAAATTTTTGGAAAAGGTTTTTGGGAGTTTGTGGTACGACCACTTTTCCGTTTACTTTGCTTTGTACATTGCATGACCATGCACATGATGTCGCAAAAAAGACCCATTCGTTATTTCACCGTGTCGCCTCCGATCGGGCCCAAAATTCGAGCCGGGGTTTAGTTGCGGTCAAAATGACGTCCGGTCCCCAAACCGTTTGTAGTACGAATATAATACATCCAAATTTTATGAAATTTTGTGTCTAGGTCAATTAAGCTACTGCCAATTCTATGGCAATATCAAAATCCGCTCTAAATTAAATTTTGATATTCAAGTTCGATTTTAAAAAATTTGCGAAAATCAACTTTTTCCTGAGGCATTTTCGGTTTTCAAAAATGTTTCCATGGTGTTCAGAAGGGTTGAGAGTTCAGAGGGTTCATAAGGGTCCGTTGAGAACGGCGGGAAAAACATCATTTTCGTTGTCACTCGGCCCAGTAGCAATGGGCTGTAAGTCAAGATTGTTGTTCTTTATGGTCCGATACACGGCAAGGGTTCACTTTACCCCCCAGCCGGAGGCTCCCAAAGATTTTTTAAGGCGACCAATCGGTAGCCCTAGGTCCTAGGTACTATCCCGTGGTCGGGAATTGCGAAAAAATCCTACTACAGGGTGTCCCAAAAAAAACGAACCATCTGGCATTTCGCCGTGTTACATAGAATCGGGCCCAAATTTGGACCAAAGGTGTATCAGACCCTTAATAACAACAATCCTGACTTTTAGCCCTGTAGCCTTCGTGGTTCTCGAGTTATAACGAAAATACTGCTTTTCCCGGAATTCTGAACAGTTTTTTCGGCTATCTTTTTGGACTTTGCATCGATTTGCATCGACTTCCGGCTGCGAATCCCTAATTTCGTTTAAGAACTTGGGTAATTTTGCGTTGTAAAAATCGCTTAAATCGAAGATTATTTAATTAATTTTACTCTGGAAAAAATTCCTTAAGGTAAAGGACGCCTTCCGGGTCATTTTCATTTAGTGTTTAGAGGGTCTAATTCGACGAAAACCCTATGAAAAATAGAAAATAAAGTTTGTTTTTGCTATAACTCGAGAACGACTGTAGCTACCGGGCTATAAGTCAGGATTGTTGTTATTTAGGGTATGATACACCTCTGGTCCAAATTTGGGATCGATTGGATGTAACACGGCGAAATGCCAGATGGTTCGTTTTTTTGGGACACCCTGTATATATAAAAAATAGTGTCTGTGTGTGTGTGTGTGTGTGTGTGTGTGCCACTTTGCATGCAACTTCCGTCAGGTTGTTCCAATCGTATCTCAAGAAGAAGAGTAGTTAGGGGCATGTTTGATACGTCATTAGGTGCGTAATAGTCTGGGGATTACTGCACGCATATCAGATTTATCAAAGTCGCCTATTTCCGACATTAAATTTTAGTTTTTGTTGAAAAATCCGAGAGCCTCTTTGTTAGGAATCAATTAGCATACCCCGGAAGTGGGAGTAGCCTATATAAAAGGGCAGAGAGCGCATTTTTCACTTTTTTCAGCGTGGGTCGGGACGAATTATGCAAAGTGTAAACTTTCATTGGTCTGAAACGGGGCCAGGGTTGAAAAGTCGCGAAGCGGCTTTTCAACCCTGGTTAATATTAAAATTTATACACTTGAAATAGTCTTCGAGCGGTTATTCGGATTTTGCTTGTCTTTGTCATAACTATTTTATTTTACATTATTTTGGGTTGCAATTAAAACTCTCAGTATATTTTTTGGCGCTCTATCGATTAGCGTCAAAGAAATTTTGTCAAAAATGTTGAAAATTTTGAAAACTAGCTTTGCACCTCTTGTTCCGATTGGGAAATCCCGTTTAAATTTTGTTTTTGCTGTGACTATTTTGTATTACGATATTTTAGGCTGAAATTGAAACTCCAAGTATATTTTTTGATGTTCTATCGAATGGCGTATTAAAATGACGAAAAAATGACGAAAATATCGAAAACTAGCTTTTTGACCGCATTTTTCGGAGGTTATTTTTTGCTACAACTATTTTTTATTACAATTTTTTTTAGCTGCAATAAAAACTATTACTATATTTTTTGATGCTCTATCGAACGGCGTCGAAAAAATGCCGAAAAAATAATGAAAATATCGAAAACTTTGGGACACTCGGACTGGGGTGGGGGTAAAGTCAACTGTATTCCGATACACCTCCGGTCCAATTTTGGGACCGATCGGATGCAACACGGCGAAATTTCGGATGGGTCTTTTTTTTGAGACACCCTGTACAGGCGAAGCAAATGCATGTGAAAATGTTGCTTGTTACTAGCCCAAGAAGTTACAGAAGCTTTTGTCACCGACATTTTGATAGTCTCACCTATCTTTTTGGTATTGCGAAATTGCATGGTTAAACCGGATACAAGCCGGCAAAAAAAGGCTAAATTCTACCATGCGACGAGTTTCCAATAGAAAAAAAATAAAAAGGAAAAAAGTTGGAAAATTTTGCCCTCAACTGCATACGGTTCATGACGTCGCTTCTTGCAGATGCTTGGTCTTGGTCTCGGCTCCATAAACAAGGACAAGGACTGCTTTGATGCAATCGCAACACAATCCGCATTGCAGATTGAGAAGATCGCCGAGTTGGTAAAATTTCGCCGCTATGGACACAAATAGCTTTTCCGATGGCTTGGTAGAGGCAATAGCGTTTAAAGGGGCTCCGAACGGCCAAATCAAAGCCCTTTTGGGAGGGCTCTTCGATTTCTGGCAAATTGCCTGCGGGCGCTGCGGGACGAGAGCCCTCACTCTTTCGATTTTTGCGCTAAGTTGTTTTTGCCCGGTTTCTTTGTGAAAAAACTATAATTTGCGCATTCTGAGCCCATTTTTGAAATCCTCACTCAATTTTAAATAGTTTTGGTTTTTTAAGCATCAATTTTGGCCCAGAAACAGCCGAGAACGTGATTTCGGGGTGACAACAGGCAACTTCAAATTTGCGAGCTTCCCGTGCCCCTGGGTGTACAGAGGCCTCCGAGGTTCAGTCCTCCGATTTTCGGGCCGTCACTCAATTTTTGCCATTTCGTAGCCCCTTTAAGGACGTTCGCTCGGCCGGAAGACTTTCATGATCATTTTTTAAGAAATGGCTTTAAGATGCTTTGGGACTGCGCTCCGACCGTTTTCCTTTTTCCGGCCCCGCATGTTTTTGCCCCGTTTTGCCCCGCATGTCCTGCCACATGAATAAGTTTCCGTCGATTGTAGCCCCCCGTCGGTCCCCCACCACTGCGGAAGTTCGGTCATCTTTCCAAGGGTCTTTAATTCCTAAACAAATAGAAAATCAGCTGGATTAAAATGGGCAAATGATCGTCGGCGAAATGACCGCGGCGAAAAAATGCACACCGTATATTATATGGAATGCAGTCGGCTGATCTCAAAAATTCCTAACAAGGCATCAACTCCTTTTAGCGAAACAAAGCAGCTGTTTCCTTGGTGGACCACTCATATCGGCGTAAGGTCACAGCTTTTATAAGATTTTAGGGATCTAGGTTCTGAAAGTTGCCACCACGGACTTCCACGCGATCGTTTTCTGGTTTTCCGGTCCGGACGCTTCAGACGATGAAAAGGCAATATTTGAACTACAGCGACAGGTTTGTGACTAAAAATTAGGAAGTTTACCACGGAGCAGGTTCGGGAAACATCAGAACCTTCGCAAAGGTTTTTTGATACCTCGTCATCTAGAGAAAGCGCATTACCCGAATTCAGTGTGATTGCGGTAGTTTTTAGCAACTGGTTGCTTTCGGGATTAAACACTGTGGTCATGAAGTGTCCGTCGGAGAACGGCTGCTGGATGCATTTAATGTGATCAAGGAGTATGTTAGGTAATATTGGGTATAGGCATCGAATTGTGGAACGTTATAGCGGCGTCCTGGTGAAATTAAGTGTGGACCCGCGCAACAATTTGGTGGTATGTTTCGGTTCCGATCCTAGATCCGAGCTTTCCGTCTGCGACAAATTAGATTCTTTTAGTTCCAAGGCCATTCACTAGGCGGTTGCTTGGCTCAAATGTTTTCTCTTTGGACTCATGAGCAGAATATTTGGTGGCATGGACGTGTAAGCACCATCGGCTTCGGGCAGCCTCGCTGTGGCGATGTGGTTTGGTTACGAAGATGATCCAAAAAGCCATAATTTCAGCATTTCACCGATGCTGTGAAAAAGGCAAACCGTGTGATCGGACGAGTTTACCAGCCACCAGATGCATTTATGGTGAGTACAGGGCGTCCGAACAAAAAAACACCCTCTCTACCTCGAGGCAGAAGTATATCTGTTCTGAATGATAGTTTCATGATTTGTGATAGTTCGGAACGGCGAGTTTGCAACTATTTTAAAAACCATGTTGTTATTTCGTGATCTATTTGGCAAGCTATTTTGTAAAGTGTACCGGCTTCTCGGGTTGCATACGAGCTAATTTTCCTCAGATTCCTCAGGCAAAAAACCCGGGAAGTAGCCGTTAATTAGATACAGAGGCCGTTTCTTAATGTGTTTAAATGCGTTAGAGAATGTCGTGTTTCAATACAAGCATGGTTTTGAAGATTGTTGCAAACTCGTAGTTTCTAGCGCGTTCGAATGGTATAACTCCGGTTCCCATCCGATATCTCCGTCGAGTGGGGGGGAGGGTTTGGGGCGCCCTGTAGTCGACAAAACCCCGGCCGGGTTTTCTTTAAATTATCTGACTCGTTAAAAAGCACCAATGCAAATGCGGCAAACAAAATCACAAGCCGCTTCTTTTTTAGGCGCCCTTAATTAAATGCTTCCAGAACTACCCGCAGGCAGCGCATGTAACCTACAAAGATGGTGTTCCCCAACCGGCAATTGGCTTTCATCACGCTGGTGTACGTGTTGCGTTAAAATTTTTTTTACAAGTGTCAGTTTTAGGACGTGGCGCTAATGTCAGCGCTCAGTCGGGAAGTAATCAAGCTCTGTGATCTGGAGGAGGGAGAATGTCGCCTCGATAATAGTGCGGAACCGACGGAGGAGGGCAACGCGGGGCATTATTTTAATTGGAATGCCTCAGTATTTACTGGAGAAAAATGCCTTGGAAGCTGATAGTGCATTCAAGCCTAATAAATCATCTGATGTGCATCGTGTTGCTCTGTCCTTGAACCTTTTCATCGGCGGCATGCATAAAAATAGTTTTCCGAGGCGTGGTAAAGTCGATCCGAGCGGATCGGACAAGACAAGAATGTGCGTTGATTTGTGCACAAAATAAGCACGGAACACGGACACCTTGTGGGAGTATTCATGGACGACAATCTTCTGATCCGTTTCGCCCAGGTGCTCGGACTCTGAGTAGTTTTAGGTTCGTCCAGAATAAGTGACCCTAATAAATCTTAGAAAACGGTTTACGTGTAGCCAAGGTTGGGTCCAAGGCCTCTTGCCCTAAATGCTCTACTTCTGACAAAGTTTCTGTAAACTTGGTAGAACTGGCGGGGCTGTACGGAACGCGGCGTGGGTCAGCCTCACCAGAACCAGTAGCCAAAAACAGCTTTTTTCTTCAAAGTGGTGGACAAGTCAACAAACCTGAAGGTATCAGTTCAGTTCCCCCACACTCAGTTCCCCGACACTCGGTTCCCCGACAAATCAGTTCCCCGACAAATCAGTTTCCCGACAATCAGTTCCCCGACAATTATAAGGTGCTATTTTAACGTAATTATAATGTTGGTATCATTTCCTAATTGTCGGGGAACTGATTGTCGGGGAACTGATTTGTCGGGGAACCGAGTGTCGGGGAACTGAGTGTCGGGGAACCGATTGGAATTCAACCTGAAGTATTCTGGAGAAATCCGCCGTTCTTTCTACGGCATCATCGACGCTTTTCATCAGCAACGTGTGGCGCACTATCTTTTCCAAGGATTTTGTAGCGTGTCTTTGAAGCGCATCGTATAAAAAAATTTTCATTTATTTGCGCAAAAAATAGGTACGGAATACAGACACTTTATGGGTGTATTCATCGACGACGGTTTCCTGATCGGGTTTGCCCAAGTGCGCCAATTCGATTGATCCGGCCGCTGGAAGCGGAAATTGCGGAATGCGACCTTCGGAATCTGAAATTTCAGAAACGTTTGGAAGAATTGACAGCTGACGAGGTAAGGAAGGTAAGAAGTAAGTACCGGAGGTTGTCGGGGTAGGAAGGGTGGTGTAGACATCGGCGGTAGTGCTAGCAGGTGTTGAATCTCCTAGAAAAGGTATCATATACGACCATTCGCGATTATTTAATAGCTTATTAGCCTTAAAGGGGGGGGGGGGGGGGGTTGCAAGTGCTGGTAATAAGGGTTTTTTCACATTATAGGGGGACAATTTTAAGCTGTTGCTTACCATTCCGCGCGCAAAAACTTTTCAAATACGTTAGTTGATTAAAAAATACAAGCGATGTCAATTCTTAATGCCCAAAATCACCGATTTTCGAAAAAAATTCTCTTAGCTTTTTTATTGTTTTCCCACCTGAAATCTGGCTATTTGCTAAAAATATCATACCTGGGAAGACAGGGAGTCCCGTGTACGGGGGAAGTGCTAAATTTTCATAGTTAAACCTCAACCCAAAACGATGCTTAAATTTAATGTCGAAAATCGCTGATTTTGTAAAAGCTGATATGTGTGCAGTCACCTTAAGGCCATTATTACTAACCTGCGGCGCTCAAATTTCGTTTTTCTTGCTGCCCCTCCCCCGAAACTTGGGGACGGCTACCCCCTGGTTACGGGTTTGCAAGGTACTTGGGTCCAAGTCCTCTTGCGCTAAATAATAAACTTGTCACAAATTTTGCGAACTGCTTATATCTGGTGGAGCTGTACGGAACGCAGCATGGGTCGGCATCAACAGGACCAGTAGCAGAAAAAGCTGCATTCTTCAAAGTGGTGGACAAGTCGACTAAACTTGGAGTATTCTGGAGACGTACTGATGTTGTGTCTAAAAATTTGTTGTTTCTGGGAGTATGAATCCCCTGCTAAGCAACGTGGCAGGCCCCTTACATTCAAAACATAGTGCCGTAGTTCCCGAAACCAGTTTTTCCGTATTGCTGCCGCGTCAACGAACCTTGCAAAATTCATCTGCAGCGTGTTGCAAAAGCTTTTCCTGGGATTTTGCAAGGTGTTTTTGAAGCGTACTGTATAAGAAAAATGCCTAATTTATTTGCGCAGAAAATAAGTACGGTATACAGACACTTTATGGGTGTATTCATCGACGACGGTTTCCTGATCGGGTTTGCCCAGGTGCTCCAATACGATTGCTCCGGGAGCTGAAAGCGAAAATTGCGGAACGCGACCTTCGGAATCTGAAATTTCAGAGGGGATAATTGGGAAGAATTTACAGCTAAATAGGTAAGTAAGTGGCCTAAGAGATACCGGAGCTCGTGGACGTAGGAAGGGTAGTGTAGATATCGGCGGTATTGCTAACAGGCGTTGTTAGTTCTATAAAGGCTATCAAATACTAGCATTCGTCATTATTCAATAGCTTATTAGCCTTAGAGCGCTGTTGCAATTGCTGGAAATAAGGGTTTTTTCGCATTATTGGGGGGAACCAACCGTTTTTCCCATGTATTAGAGGAAGTGTTTCTAAACTTTGTTACCATTAGCTCAACAAGAATCAAAAACATCAACAAATCTTTTGAAATGTTGATTAAAAGGCAGAAGAAATGTCGATTTCTCCGATTTTGGAACAAAATCCCTTCCAAGTTCTTTTTATTGTTTTTCTACTGCAAATCTGGTTATATTTTTGCTAAAATAATTATTAAAATACTTATAAATAGATTTGCTATTAAAACTTCAAACTTTCATAACGACGAAATTCAGAATATCGGTATTTTTTACAAAGGATCATGGGGGTATTTCGATAAATTCGCATATGTGAATTTCGACAATATGAAATGTCGACATTCTGAAATTTGACATTTGGAAAGTAACCCTTACTATTACGTTACTAGGCAATCCTTAGGCTTATAGGAAAATGTTGGTAGCCCCCCCCCCGATAATGCGAAAGAACCGGAATAAGAAAACTATTTGGCGTAAGAATTAGATTTGGCCATAGTTTGGCAGGGAAAAGCTATTTTTAAGATTTTCTACCTGGACCTGGCTGCGTGAGACTATCGGCGTATGTAATATTCACTAAATCATACAAAGAATTGAGTTAGGGCAAAGATCCAAACCGTCGTGGACTGGGGGAATAATCGTGCCGCTCTCCACTAGCGCTAAGATAGCCATGATCAGGCAGCCAACAGCCCTCATCGTCCAATGTACCGTCGGTTGCAACTGATGCTGCCTTCAAAGTTGTAGGGACCGAAAGCTATATGTAGTAATTGAAGAATGTGTGTATGTTGTGCCTGTCTCTATCATATTCACGTTAATGTGGGTTCTTCATGACTCCTGATTGCCGCTGATTTCGCAAAATTGTTGTGTCTCTGAGGCTTGATAGTCATCTAGAAAATTGTTAACTTTCGATTCAGGGGGATTTCAGTTTTATATTAGCAAAATTGCGGTGTAGTTTTGAGAATGAAATTGATCGATTCGAAGGTATAATCATTTATTGCATTTAACAACCGGCCGGGGTGAGTATGATTTCAAGCTTCAAGCCCGTGATCTGTTTTGGGTGGAATTTGTCGGGGGACGACATGTGGACATCGATTCTGACGATCGAATTGTTGTTTTCTAAAAATTAAGGCATTAAAACTGTTGCTTCCGGGTCTTTTGTGGTATATCATCTGTTTTGCTTCAAACGATTCTTATGGTTCATTTTTGTTGTTTGTAAGCCACCATTTGTGGCGGTTTCGGAGACGACATTCAGGGTACACATAGGGTAACGGGGGGGGGGGAATAAAATAACGGGGGGCACTCATTATTATGAAATTTGCAATTACTGAGGGATTTTGCGAGTGCCATTCGATAGAGCATCGAAAAATATACTAAGAGAATTAATTTCAGCCCGAAATAATCTAATAGAAATTTTTTATTGAATAAACAAAATTGAGGAAAATCTATGGGCAGCACATGGGATAACGGGGGGGGGAAAGTCAAATTTTCGAAATTTTGGAAGTTTTCGGTATTTTGAAAACGTCATTCGATAAAGCGTCGAAAACTGCCCTAGGAAAATTAATTTCAGCCCGAAATAATGTAAATGAAATTTTTTATCGAATAAACAAAATTTGATCAAAATCCATGGGCAGCACATAGGATAACGGGGGAAAGCCAAATTTTTGAGATTTTCGATATTTTGAAAACGCGAATCGATAGAACATCAAAAAATATACTAAGAGATTTTTTTACAACGCGAAAAAATGTATTATAAAAGTTTTATAGCCTAAAAACTATTTTTGAAAACTATGGGCAGCACATAGGATAACAGGGGGGGGAATTTTTTTCGGCGTTTTGAATATTTTCGATATTTTGAAAATGCCATTCGACAGAGGACCGAAAAATATACTAAGAGTTTTTTTTACAGCCCGAAAAAAGCATATTTAAAAATACTTTTATCATATAAAAAGTTTGAGTGCCCCCCGTTATTTCCCCCCGTTATCCTATGTGTACCACATTCAGAGGTCCAGCAGTAGAAGTGGATACGGAGGGGGTGGCTCCTGTAAGCGAAAAATTATAGTTTTTTTTGGTAAAATGACCTTCAAAAACATGAGGAATTACTTCTAGTGGTAGGTCTGGCTTGTAAAGATGCTAAGCACACAGCTTACATTTCAGACTTAGTTAAAACTTAAAATTAGTACGCGGTCGTGGAAGAAAAAGTCGGAGCCGGATAAACAAACTTGTATGATCTGAAGGATACTCAACATAGCAGTCGGCACCCATTATGATGGCCAGGAATAAAACATTGACCATGTGCAGCTTCATTCTTTCTACGAAATTTCGCCAGCCCGTAGGAATCGATAGTTGTCCTATTAACCAAGGAGATGCGCATGTTGTGTCTCGTAGAA